TGACATATTGCGGAATATGTCTGTTCGCAAAAACGGTCAATAATCTGTCATAACGGTAAATAATGAGCGATTGCATTCGAAATTTACTTTTTGACTGCTATTTAAAAACGGTTTAAGGCTTATTTTTTTAAAATTAAACTCAACCCTTGACCATTGCATTCCACCGTCTCTTGTGATTTTCAGCATACTCCAGCCACCTCTCATAGCTTCTGGCACCTACATTGATACTTCCTCTCACCTCCTTCATCGTGAGCTCCTCTTAGGACAGTCCTGTCACCGCTACGCTCTTCTTCTCGAAGACGACTTTTTGACTCCTCCAGTCATCTTCGATATTACGTGATGGTTATATGCCTATTTCATATTTAGGATCTCTTTAAATCATCCAATATGTACTTTTAGATTTCTTAGTTTTTTTTAATTTTTTTAGTATTTATACATATCTAAATTAGACCGCTATTTGACTTTGTATTTTTTACCGTTATTTTGCCGCAATAGCCCGAAATAGCCTTAGCGATGCCTCACCGCTACGCGACGCTATCCGCTATCGATAACCTTGATCACTATCTTTCATCCTCTTTCCCATTCAAGTGTGTGATCATGGAGTTCAACTTCATATTCAAAAGAGTCCACGAAAAATTTGAGGACATACTGTTGATAGTTTGCTAATGATGCCAACTTTGAGATCTGTTCCTAATAGTGGGAACTGTGGATTATTTTATTAATATTATTTTTTATGGGTGGGGGGAATCATTGTACATAAAACCTGGCTACTTGTCAAGTAGGAAACTTATCTCATTTATTGTTGTAATTTAAGCTCCATATTATCTAGCACAAATCCTTCATGTTAGGAAAATGTTTGATATATAGTGTGAAGGTGATAGATTATCTGTAGGTAACTGCATTATTGTGGGAAAGACAAAAATGAAAATGCAAGGCAACTGATGGAGATAGTTTAGGCAAATGCCTCAACTAGATATGTACTATATATTCCCAAGTAACAAACAAATTGGAGGAGGGAGTGATTGTGGCGGGTATAGAAAATATGAAATGAAGGCTATTTAAAAGGTAATGAATGATGTGATACAAGAGTTTAAGAATTATCCAGTATTGCTAGAGATGTTAAGATGGTTAAAACTTTATTTGGTGATTGTTCAATAGGATGGATTTTGTTTCACACATCGACATCTCTTTCTTTCTATCCCTCCCTACCTTGTTCTCTTCCCTTTTTCTGTAGGTGTAGGAGTGGTGATGGTGGAAGGAAAGATGACACAAGAAATGAAGCCAATTGTTGATGTAACAACATCGTATATGTGAACATATGCATGTTGTTGCTCTTTTTTTCTTCTTTTTTTCTCTTTCTCTTTGGATTGGTGATGGAAAATGATAAGAATATTTCTTAAGGGAACTTATTTGGATAAAAATAAAATGTAAATAGAAATAATAAAATTGCATTCATCGTTTGATAAAGAAACATACAAATGTCAGGCCTCACGCTTGTGGAAATTACATGCCTAATGATACTTGCAACTCGCATGCAAGGATTATCAAATAACAAAGTTTTCACCATTCATCTCTCCTCTAAATGAAAAAGATGCAACCTTATTTATATGACTAAATTAGAATTCTCATAACAAATAAAATCCTAACTATTAGATTACAACAAATATAAATCCTAGCAAAACAACAACTCTAATAACTAAGTAACAACTTCATCTTAACCAAATATCTTAGCTTAAAAATCAAATCCTTAAGAATCTTTTAAATTTGACTTGTCTTGCATCAAAAATTCTCATAACAAAAAATATTCTAACTATTAGATAATATCAAATGTAAATCCTAACAAAATAACAACTCCAATAATTAAAAAAAACTTCTTCCTAACCAAATATCTCATCTAAAGAAAATCAAATCCGTAAACATCCTAATTATAATGTCTTGTATAAAATAAAATAAAATAAAATATGCAAAACAAAAGGATGGAGATATATTGAAGTGATTATTTGGACAAAATAAGATAAGAATCAAATATCTTAATTGCACTCTTCGTGACAATGATAAAGGTCTATCACTGGATCATCATCAGACGATGTGGATTCTAGAGTGGCTCCTACAGGGTCTAGAGGTGTCTCCTATTGCCTTTACATGATATGATACTTAGTTCCATATAGCACTTAAGTCCTTATTTTAGACTAACTAACTGCTCTGATACTATTTTTCACGCCACAGGCTTGAGTGCTTGTTGGCACGATGTGAATCGTGAGCCATGTGACCCATTGAGTATGCGGTTTGGCTCAATCCATTGTAAAAAATGGTTAACCATTGTTGCACTTGATTCTCAAATCCTACTATTTAAACCCCTTCACATGCTTTAGTTTCTTGATATGAGATTAAGTTAATGGGGGCATCACAATAATCTCTAATCTCTAAATCAGTCAACTGTTGTACCTAAGGTTTTACATATCAATTATCAGGGAAATATCGGACGATCAAAATCCATATTGAATTCCGGGTATATGGCAGATACTGGGGATATGTAGTAAATATCAAAGTGCCATATTTAATGTGCATATGTAATATAATGTTCTAAAATATAATTTAAACACACTTAATGAAATTTTGTCACACAAAAATGTAAATAATATATATTTAGGTTATTGTAAAAACTTAAATAGGGCTAAAATAAGGAAAAGACCTACTACAATTTGCTAAAAAAATTCATAGGGCTGAAATTTTTTGGTAAATACATTGAAGAGATATTACAAAACTATATTGTACAGTGATAAGCCATATAGAATAACATATCAGCCAACATATCGGTCAACATATCCGTTAATATATCAGTTATATTGGAGATATATCGCCCAAAAATTGTCAAATAGCCGTAAATAATGTTGAGGCCATATCATATTGTGGCAAACCTTGTAAAAGGGTATTTCGGATAGATATATCGGCTCTGTTGGGGATATTTAAAACAAAGATTACAATAGACCCCCTATAGTATCACCTACTTGTGAATACAATGTAGTTCTATTTGTTGTGAATAGACCCCTTAAAATATTGGTCTAGGTGAGAATATACTCCCTTAGTTATTTTTTCAACTCTTTTAAAAATAAAAAAATTTAGCAAATGAGGATTTATCCTCATCAATATAAATTTTGGTGATCTACCCACCTCTAACCTTTTCAATGATTTTAAGAGTAAAAAAAAGTTCAAGCAGGGGGCTATTCACAAAAATAGACCTACGAGGTGTCTATCCGCAATTGGGTGATACAACCGGGGGAGGGGTGTCTGTTTGCAATTAACAATGGCTGTACCTGGTTGCTTAGATTTTGAGGATGACAGAAAGAAACATATCTTTTTACAAGCGACATGCAGGTGCTTTTGCTAAAGCCTCAATTTATGCGAATTTTGAAAAGATATAGCACATAATTATAATGGAATTCCTAAATACAAATATGTTATTACATGCAATATATACCACTTATTTCATTGTTTCTTCTTATCTATTACCATTAAGAGGTTGCCTTTATGGTACAATGGTCCCACAAATTTGATAGCATTAAGGACTTTGTCTAACAGTGTCCTATTGTAATATCAGGCCCATTGTATTATATTAAAATGTCATCTCTGTATTCTGTAATGCTCGTTTATGTCCCCAGGACTTGTCAACTTAATTCCCAGTCATACTGTGCTTCCATCATATTAAATTTCTATCTTCCTTTTGTAATGACATAAAAAATCACACAATATAAATGCGTGGTTAAACATCCACTCACTTTTCTTTAGTTAGACATCTTGTTCCTTGACCTTGTTAAAAAAAATTAACCCTATCACCCAGAAATTCAAGCTTTTAGAAGTGAAAATCAGCTTTCTTATGGAAAATGTGTAATTGCAGAAGACAAGAACCAATGTTTATACGGCTACTGTTCTGATACAATTTTGTATCTACTTTAATCCAAAATTTGAACCTTTTAGGTAGTAGAAAACTTGTACAGGTCAACTTTTCATTTACTAGTTGTCCATTCTTTCAACTGATTCAGGCTAAATAATTATTTTGCAGTTTCACATTGTTTGTTTTATGTTTGGCTAAATTGTTTTCATTCTAAACATACAGCTACCTTTATATTTTACCCTGATTGCTTTATCATGGGAATCACTTTTAGTTTCTTCTTGTCAATTACCCTTGGCCTATAAATGTACATGACTTATGATCATATGCAATGGAACCTGCCTGTGAATATTCATGCAACTTAAATCACATCTTTGATTTATGTGTAGTGTGGAAATAGAAAAAAGGCCGAAGACCCGCTCCTTCCGTTCATCTGCCACACTAGAAATCACCTATTTTAGTACAGTTTAATTTTAGATGCTATGCTAAATCAGCTCTGATGATTAACATGACATCTAGACCTCCTGGTCTTCTCTTATGCACTTATATTGATTATTATGCATATATTGCTGATGCTGCAGAAACTTAAGAGAAAGTGATGGGTATTTAATAGGCATAAACATATACTTGATCTATATCAAATCAAAACTAAAGTTAATGATCAATAGAATTGGGTCATTTCGGTTTGTGAATGGACTCGACTTGGTGCATATATGTTGAGTGAGGCCCTTTTTATATGACAGTAGATTTAAAAAAGCTCTTTTCCAGTTTTGGGCCTGAATAAGACTTGCTAGGCTTCTGTAATTTCGAAGGATCTAGGGTTTACACAAAGACTGGTCATGTTTCAATTGGTGAGATTGGTAAAGTCCAGAAATTTGTTTTGGAGGCCCATGTTTTTATCATCTTTTCTTCCATGCACTTGTTTGCGGGTTGTCTAATCAGTAAAATACTTCTAATTTCTCATGGCACTATGGTTAGCTTAGATTATTTCAAGGTTCTATCTCTTTTATTACTTTCTTGACATGCTATAGTAGATAGTGGTCAATGCATCTGCTATAATAGTACTAGCAAACAAGAAACAATAATTTAATAATTTACATTTCCCTCTTAGTTAGGGCATGGTGATTACTCGGCTGCAAGTACAAAAGTATTGCGTATGGTGAATACTTTAGCAGTAGACAATGAGGCAAAACATACTATAGAAGCACTGAGAGCTGAATTGCAGAAGACACAGGCGAAGCTGCAAGCTGTTGAAGACTTGAAAGGACAATCAGGTACAGGGATTGTCTCATTTTCTTATTCAGTATGGGACATTTCTTTTAATCTCTATATTTGAGATCTATGAACTTATCTTGAATGAATATCATAGAGCACATTGGATTAATTATAATTTATAAGTAACTTGATGTTTAGTGTAGCTTTAATGTAAATTTGTTTTTGGGGGTCATATATGCACACCCTTACATCTATCGTATTTTTTAGACTTACACAAACCCTTCATGCTTTCCAATTTACCCTCAAAATTAACTCAAATTCACCCTTCGATTTACTTTCTCTTGGATTTTCTAACAGAGTTAACGTGAAATTTCTATCTACCCTTGTCTTCTACTGTCACCCATAGGATCCAATCCGCCTCAGATCCTTAAAAATCGGAAGAACTTAAATCATGATTTACAGCTATTGAAATTCAATGACGGACGGCACTGAGTTGTCATGACCCCATGGGCTGAACCCCAAAATGCACATACAAATATGAAAATTAAGAGGTAGGAAGTTTCTGACATTCACCAGTCACCACAAAGTCCACTCACTTCCCGAAATTAGCTAATGCATGTTACCCTTTGGGAAATCCCTCCTCTTAGCTTTAATTGACTCCTACTTTTTCCAAATCCAATTGCCAAAGTGTAGTATAATCCTGCTAACTTCTTAGATTGAATCAATTCTTTTTTTTACAAATCCAATCGCATTGAGGACTTAAAATGCAAATAATGTCAGGGTTGAGGTTCTGGATGCACTTGGTGAAGAAGGGGCAGTTCTTGACGCTGTGGTGTGAGCTTTTGGCGTATAATCTTGATTCTCTCATTTCTCTCTTTTTCCCTTATGTCGATTCTCTTTCGCAGTGGGTTTTGTGCTCTGAAGACGAGAGGCAAGAGAAGTAGAAAAGAGGGCTTCTAGGAGGAGCCATCCTTCTCTAAGTATTTGCAGAATGACTTCAATTCTCTCGCCCTACGAAAAGAAGGGAGCATAGTTTAATAATATTTTAAGATTACTAACCAACTTATCAGAATGTGAGGAATAAATTCAGTACATTCTCTAATCAAGAAATTGAGTGTTAGATTAAAAATCTAACTGTAAATTGGTAGCTAATAGTTATGTTTCAGCCAATTAATATATTGGCTGTGCTACCTTTCCTGTGAACTTCCTTCTGTTAAAAAAAATGTACCATTTTACTTCTGATCTTTTATTCTTATCCTTCATGTAAAATCTTAACATCTCCAAGGTTTTGCTAGAGTGGGTTATCACTTTCTGATCTAACATAGATGCCTCGTAAATTTCTCAACAGATGCTGGGAAAATAATAGATGCAGACATACCCGAGAAACTAGCACAGCTTAAAGGACAGATTGCAATACTTGAGAAGCGTGAAGAAAGGCAGATACTAGATTCCTTTTAAAGTCTAAATTTTTTAAACTAAATTCTTAAATGGCCTACTGTGATATTCATTCTTTTCAACTTCATTCCTCATGGACAGGTATAAAACTGTCTTTGCAGAGAGGATATCAGTTTTTAGAAGAGCATGTTGCTCGCTTTTTGGCTATAAGGTATTTGGTCTTTTCTTATTTTATAGTTTGAAGCATTAATTATAGATACTTCCTATCATTTGGTATTTATTAAATTTAACTGTTCATACTTCATACTATAGCACATACTGTAGATTGGGCACTGTTACAATGATCTGTGAGGGAAAGGTAGAAGGTTTTAATTTAGGGGTTAAATTGATATTTTGAAGATTTTAACCCCTTACTTGTCATGTCCCAAATCTCATAGATTTAACTGCACTATTATTGTACATTTATAAATTAGCCTACATTTGGTGGACTTCAATGTCTGGAACGTGCATGTCTTTGTGCTGTGGGTGGATGGAGGAGGAAAAGGTGTTACTTTTTTACTCATTTTATTTATTCATTTAATCATTTTTGGGGGCGTTGGAGGTAGGGTTTGCGGCAAGGGACAGTAGATTGGAACTAAATAATTGATTATCAAACACAAAATTCAACTTCTCCATCAGTGAATTAGTCACATCCGTTCTACTTAGGTCCACATATCCTTAGACACAAACATAGTCTTAGTGCTCTCACATGAATCAACTCAACCTTCCAGTTTACCTAATGAGAGCAAACTGAAGATGTCAATCTCTTGACTATATTATGCAGGTATGGGTATTTGGGTCCTGAACCTGTGTTCGAACCTTTTTCATTTAAGTTACACATTGGACATGGTATTTGATACGTATCATCATGTCCAACACTTCTATGTTATTTAAATGTGTCGGGAGTACATCAGGTTCTAATAGAGCGATTTTTAAACCTGATAGCCACTAATACCAAATATTAATTTCAATTTCAGCTGAATGCTTGTACTTACAAATATTCATCTCTCTCATTTTCCGCTCATCTCCTCTGAACACATTGAGCACTAGATTTGAACTGACAAGTGGGTCATCTGCCTTAATTGATGGGGTATCGATTGTGTCAATGGTGAAGTTCTTACACTTCAGCTGACTCAACGTCGACGAGCTCTTTCCGAAGAGAGGCTTTGACTGCTACTTCTTAGATTTCAATTAGGGGAGGCTCTATTAAAATGTAAGTAATTTAGAAATTTGATATTTAGGATTTTGTTATTTATTTGCATTTTGCTTTCTATTTTGATGATGTTTCTTTGTAGTTTGGTTGAAATTTGATTTTATAAATTATTTAATTGGTGGTTCACCCATTTGTTATATGTTGGTCTTCTATAAAAGTTTGTTGATTCATAAAATGAAAGGTTCTCCTTCATCTTAGGCTTCTGCATATCGCTTTTCAGTTCTAATGGATGTTGGACTTATGATGAATTATACTAAAGATTAAGTTAAAAATAGGTCTAAGTAGAGTGTTTGCTAATCCTTTGCAGTTTACACTTCCTTTCAAGAAAAATCTATTTATTTCTACATATTATATTTTGGGTCCTGGCCATCTAATATAAAGGTGAGAAAGAAATGGATATTTAGTGCTTGCAATGTTATTGTAGATTTTAAAAGATAGTCACCTCCACTTCTCTTTACTTGATGGGTTCGAAGTTTGCTTCCATATTTCGTTTATTTATTGTTGAACTATTTATTTTTTTTCATGAGCAAAAGTCTCACATTTGACTTGAACAAGGAGATCCAACAGCTTAACCCTAACCTGAAAGGTCTATGCTCAATTACTGTTGTGGTTCTTTTGAAGATTTTCATGAGGTTGTTTTGTTCTATCATGCTTCTGCTTCTAACTTCTTTTTCCTATTGCCGCTTGCACCCGCCTCTTCTTTTACTATTCTTAATTTTTTTTCATTTTCTATATAATTTGCCATTGAGAAAGAATATGATAATGATTAACTTGGTGCATGTTTTAAATGACACAAATTTAAATGTGTTTTGATGCACATTGATAGTGACATCAAGTCGCACAATCGTTTGAGTGGTGTAGCACTCACTTAAAAGTGACAACCAATCAACAACAAGAAACAACGGCAGCGGCAACATCAACTAGAATCAGAAGAAGCAAGAGAATCAACAACATCAAGGCGACAATGGGCGGTGACTACACACTCTCCTGGTCCAGATCTTGGACAGTGTGAAGCCACCACATGCTGTTCTTGTGTAGATTGCAGACAGTGTGGTAGGCGCACATTGTCATGCGGATTTTCTGTTGCTATTTGGGTTTCTATCTAGTTTTTCTTTGGTTTCTTGTGACCGAAGACTTCCACCCTATATAAAAGGGTATTACCTTAGATCTAGGATCTAAGAGAGAGGGGTTAGGAGGAAAGGAGACCATATAGGTTAAAAGCTAAGCCGACAAGATCAAGAATAAGATGATGATGATGATGAAGAAAAGGAGATTGGTTTTGTAAGGATTTACGAGAGGGAAGTTATATTCTTTATGCGGATTTACAAGAAGCCAGATGAACTACTTTTGTGATAGATCATTGACAGGAAAGTATTATTGTATCTTCTTCTCCAAGTTAGTAAAGTATACTCCCCCTCCTCCTACGTTTGTAGGCAACTTGTCGAACCACATAAATCTACTTGTGTTTTGTGTGATTGTTATTTGTTTTTAATTATCTCGTTGTAACGTCAAATTCTTCTGCAAAACCCTAAAAAGTTAAAGTCTTTGTTCGAAATCTAAAGTTGAATTGATTCCTTACAAGTTGTATCAGAGCTGATGGCTATTCTGATTCGAGATTCTCTTGGGAAAATAATGGCCAAATTTGTTCAAGTCAAAATGTTAGGGCTTCAAGCAACAATAAAGAAGACAACGACAGCAAGATTAGGGTTCGTGAGGTCCTCAGTATTGCATAAGTAATCATGTAGGAGATTCGCTAAGAGTAGTGAACGATACAAGCAACATATACGATGGACGATATAGCGGAGATTGCAAAAGGGGCTTGCACGAAGAAGTGTCTAAGCACGAGGGGAAGCGCTGGATGATTGTGGATTCATTGACCAGTTGGCGAGTGAAGGCAGATGTACACACGATACACGTAGGCGGATAGTAGTAGCAATGCATATGATTCCACGTGTCACAAGGATACAATGACCGGTTTGTCGTTGATAGAGGCCACAAGAAAAAAATTCAACAGTGCGTGGGAGGCGTACGAGGTATATTTGATGTCAAAGCTTAGACGAAGACAATGATAAGCAGGTCGCTATCAACGATAATCAGGATGCACGTAGACATGACAGATGCCAGAAGATAGGCAATTCGGCAATTACGGGTTAGAGAGAACAACGACGCAGTTAGAGCGTCAAACCGGCAATAGAAAACACAGTGAAGTGTTGATGGAAGTCATGTTAAGGGTTCACATGCAACATATAAGGTTCAAGGCGCTCAACTCATGGAAGGTGATGTATGATTATCGCTATCTTAAATTAAATCTCAGATCGGACAGTCTAGGTTGATTGTCGACAAATCAGGGAATTGGAAGTGGACCTCTTCAATTAAGGAGTTGATTATTAAGTTTATTCAGGTGCTCTGAAGGTGATGGTTAGTATGATGGCAGATAGACAGTTACAATCATTGCAAGAGAGGACCCTCATAATTATAGTCAGTATATAGCTTTGTGCGGAGGTTGTGAAAGATCATCCAGATATTCAATCATGAGAGTAGAATGCAATGTAAACTGCGATAATATACGATATTAGACAAGAGTCGTGAAAGATATTCATTTATTCACTTTGTTGAGATAGGAATGTGGTATTGGGTGGAGATTGCGACAGTACGCAACTTTAGGTAGAGATCGTGTCGGGTGTACAGTGTATTCATGGATTTGAGGAAAGCAAATAGCTTCTAGTGGAGGTTATGAAAGTATTTAGGTACTTGTGGTTTTGCGGATGGTATGCGGCATAAGGTGGGGCCATGAAGATGGAGAAGGATGTTGAGGTGGAGATTGTTCTAAAATGCACGAATTTGAAAAGGTTTGCATAAGTAGCTCAATTGTTTGAGTGGTGCAACATTCGCTTGAAAGCGACGCCAACAAATAGACAATTAACTAGCAACAATGGCACGTACAACAATGATTAGAAATAGCAGAACCGCAAGCGGAGTAGCAACAGCAAAGGGATAGTGTGCGGTGACTGCACACTGTCCTGGTCCAGGTATTGGATATTGTGAAGCCATCGTACACTGTTCTTTTGTAGATCACGGACAATGTGTGGTAGGTGCACACTATCACGCGGATTTCCTATTGCTATTTGGGTTTCTACCGGTTTTTTATTGGTTTCTTAGGACCCAAGACTTCTACCCTATATAAAGAGGTATTATCTCGGATCTAGGGTTTGAGAGGGAGAGAGAGGGAGTTGTGAGGAAAGGACGCAATAAGAGAGAGATCAAAGGCTAAGTCGTCAAGATTAAGAAGAAGAAACGAAGATTACTCTTGTAAGGATTTACAAGCAGGAAGTTATATTCTTGTGTGGACTTACAATAAGCTAGATGAACTACTCTTCTCGTGAGAGATGTAGGGAGGAAGTATTATTGTACTTCTTCAAGTTAATAAAGTATGCTCTACCTCTCGTGGTCGTAGACAAATTGCTGAACCACATAAATTTTCTTGTGCTTTGTATGGTTGTTTGTTTCCTTTATCTCCCTATAAAGTTAAATTATTTTATGAAACCTTAAAAAGTTAAAAGTCCTAGTTCGGGATTTAAAGTCGACAAGATTCCTTACAGTTTAGGGATAGCCCTAAACAAAACTTAGTGGAATAGCTGACCCTAAAAGATTGATATGTGTTTTGCTGTAATTTCTCCCCATACTTTTTCGATTTATTCCAATTTATTATCATTTAATTTGTAAAATATTATATTTTGGGCACTTTCGCATAGGCTTCTGCTTAAGCATCTAGGGATAAGTCTTATTCCGTGAAGCCTCAAGTGTCTTTATCAATTTGCATTCTAAAACATAAATTCAGGTGTCTTTTACAAAATTGCTTGATGCAAGGAATGATGTGTGGATACCTTGAAGGAGCGTAGTTCTCTTAGGTGCTTTAATAGACAAGTGCTAATTGATCCACAAAGACCCCAGAATGCCTATTGAGTGGATCATGGCTAGAAAATTTTGAATATTCAATAAAGTTATGCGTTTGTATAAATGATAAATTATTAAAAAATACAAAGGAATGTGGTTGCATGTCCTTTTGTCGTCTTAAGAACTCCTAGTAGTGATATACGTAACTCTGACTGAGGTAGAGGTTACTTTTTATCCTTTGAAACTTAAGGAGATTCTCCTATGTTCTCTAGTTGTTTCAGCACCTAACAATGGTGGATTTTGTATTGCTCATTCGCCGCCTAATTCCTAATCATTATCTCAGAGTCCATGTTCTAGCATTATTGAACAATGGAAGGGTGGGGAAACAGCCTTGTATTTTATAAAATTCTAGTTGGATTTTGACCGATGATTAAATTTAATTGGAAAGAAGCACTTATAATTGGAATTAAATTCTAATTAGATGAGAATTAGAATTGATAATCCAAGTCAAATGAGTCCTACATGAATTCAAGAGAGGGAAAGCTCTTTAAATACCCTTTAAGAGATTCATTGAAAATAAAGCTATAGGAAAGCCAATGAGAGTTGCATATTTTAAGAGAAGTAGAGAGAACTAAGGGGAGAAACTTAGGATTTGTCAGAGTTCTTTTGGTGAGATTGAGAGGGTTTCTTGTGGGATTTATTTTAGATCACAAGATTAGATTATCCTGCAATCTTTATAATAGAATAAGACTCAATTCTCTTCCGGTGGATGTAGGTGATTGCTAAACCACGTAAATTCCATGTCTTTGTCTCTTGATCTATTATTCTGTGGTAATTGCTTTACTTATTTGTTCGAACTAGCATTTTGTCAGTGTTTTCATATCGCCCAGTGATTGATTGGTCTACAAAGAAGGAGGAGAACTAATTAGGGTGCTCGGTGATGTTTTTGCTGACTACGCTTTCATATAGATCTCCGATCGGTGTGCAATGATTGGTGTCGGGTTGGAATGACGTGCGCCAACAGGAAGGACAATTAGGCTATTGCTTCTTTTTTACATGTAGATTTATACATTGTATCGATTATAGTGTATTTTCAGCACAAAAGTTGATAGTGCTAGTACATCTTCTGATAATGATTTAGCAAAATTTTTGTTATTCCTCGAATACATCAAAGAACTAAGCAAGACTCAGTCAAGCTGGATAGTCATAACACCCAATAGTTTTGCATGATACCTTAACCCTCTTTGCTTTTGCTTCATATTTTTCCTAAGGAAAAATTACCTCGAGTCCCTTGGATGAACTTTTTGTGTCCCGCTCCTTGAAAAAAAGTCAAAGGTTAAAAACACCATTGATCAAAGTTTTCTTTCTTCTACCCGTTTATGACATTCTCTCTCCTAAGGTTACCATCCTTTCTTCCCAAAATGCCCGTGTCTTCAACCTTTTTTCTCTCTAAGGATCACTCTTCTTTAACCTCCCAACTCCCTGCTCTGTGCTACCCCACTCTAGCACCTCTCTCCTCCTCCCTACTCCATCTCTACCCTCCTCTCTTCCTCCTCCACTTCACATTTGCACCTTTGCCCTTCTCCACCTCCATCATTGCATCCTCCTCTTTCTTCTCTTCCTTTCTCAACCACTGTTTTTCACTGTCATAGCTTCTCTTCCGACATTTCTCCTATTTACTCAACCATCTCTCCCCCTTCCACAACCACCGCCGCATCTCTCAAAAGCCATCACCTTTGGCTAAAATGGTCATCTCCTAAAGATATGCTGAAGTTAACACTTAACAATTAGAGTTAACATATAAATTTTAAAATTAACATAAAAAGATCTAAAGCTATCATTTAACAATTAACTTTAGAAATTGAAATAAAAGCCTTAAATTAATTTTTTTTGAACTTTGACATGTTACTTTTTTTAACTTTAGTTTTTTGTTAGCTTTGATATGTTGTTTTGTCAACTTCAACTTTTTTTGTTAATCTTGACGCACAGTTTTGTTAACTTTAGTGGTTTTTGTGCATAGAGAAGAGGAAAAGGAGAGGACAGAGGAGGAAGGAGTAGGAAGAATGGAGAAAGGAAGAGAGAAGAAAAGGAAATGGAAGGAGGAATAAGGAGGGAGGAGGTAGAACAGAGGCTTTTATGTTAACTTTAAAACTTAAATATTAAATATGGACATTAAGTGTTAACTTCATTGTGCCTTTGATGGAGGCGAAACCATTGAAGGGAGAAGGTGTAGGCGAGTGTAGCAACGGAGGGAGAAGGGAAGGTTTATTGGTTCATGAGGGAGATGAAATGGGTTCATGAGGAAGTAAAGTAGGGAGGAGGATAAAGGTGGGGCGAGGTGAAGGAGGAGGGAAGAAGAGAGGAGGGAGGAGGAAAATGTTGAAGATTAAGATGAGGGAAATTTGGAGATATAAGCTACCTTAAAAGGGAAAGTGGGGAAGAAGAAGGAAAATTTTGGTCAAGAGGATTTTTAACCCTTGACTTTTTTCAGGGGGTTGGGACACCGAGGCAATTTTCCCTTAACTACAATTTTGTCGATTGAGAGAGAGAGAGAGAGAGAGAGAGAGAGAGAGAGAGAGAGAGAGAGAGAGAGAGAGAGAGAGAGAGAGAGAGAGAGAGAGAGAGAGAGAGAGAGAGAGAAGGAAAATTTTGGTCAAGAGGATTTTTAACCCTTGACTTTTTTCAGGGGGTTGGGACACCGAGGCAATTTTCCCTTAACTACAATTTTGTCGATTGAGAGAGAGAGAGAGAGAGAGAGAGAGAGAGAGAGATCAAAGGACTCCAACTCGATCCTAGAAACCTCTTCCACGTAATTCTAGATGTATATGTTATCACCTCTTACTTGGATATCCTACAATCACATCTTTATAGCGTATCAGTAATTGAACTTTTACTAATTATCTGGATACTCTTGATTTTCTAGTTCTTAGCCTACTGTTGTTAAACATTCCTTTTTATGTAACCAGACAGGGATACTTTTATTCTGAGTCTTTTTCTTAAACTTGCTTTCAGATTGTCATGGATGATCAACAACGTCCTAATGGGATACCTGTGACAAGGTTTACCCTTCAGTCTATATATGCATTGAATGATGATGAAAAGCTTGAGTTTGATTACGAGTCAGGGACTATGAGCATTTTGGTATGCTGCGCTGATGAGAATAGTCGTTGATTTGATCTTTACAATAGTCCTATTTGGTCTTGACATCAGTTTCTCGACTCTGCAGGTTAATGACTACACATCTCAGCCTGAGATATCTCATCAGGTATTTAAGAATTGCTTTTGGAGTATTTGGTTATAGATTTTCTCTGGGAGGTTAGGTATCTTTATCTATCCATGCAGACCATCTTGAAGGAAAATAACAAATTTTCATCCTCTCTGCACTATTTGCATTCTATTGAATGATATCCATTTTGCTAGTTTAACTCTTCATGGTCTTGGTGCAAATTGGTTAGCCATGCATACAATGTCCAGCCAGTTACTTGGTTACATCCAACACCTTCTATGCACGTCAACACTAATCATGGCTACTAATTATGAAAAGTTTTGTTTTTCACATCTACTAATTTAATTGACGTATTGCTCATATGAGCGATCTTGAAAGCATTAAAAACTTCATGTTGTCAATTCTTTTCTTATGAGGATTATTTCTTTACGTTCTACGGGTTCCAGATTGCCCTGTCTTAGAGCCTCTTATACTTTTCTTTGACCCCTTCGATTTATCTGGGTTTGTTGCCACCATTTCTGATAAATGGGTACTAAAAATTGGAAATTCTAAGCCTAAGAAATTCATGAGTCACAATGATTAGAATGGAAATTCGTTCAGGTGTTGGATCTTGAGAATCTTTCTTCTGTTCAAACTCTTTAATTTTTTATGAAGTTTGCCTCTGGTTCATCCAGTATCAGTGGTGGTTTTATACCACAAAAAAATTGGGGTATCAAAATAACTCTTCTTTCATCGTTGTCAGGCCAAGTTACTGTCTTAATCGCTGCCTATTGGTTATCAATCAATGCCGAGGACTTTTATTTACCTATATGTTTAACATTGAAACTGTTATTTTACTGTGATATTTTAACATGAACTTGAGATATAGCATAAGCTATCAGATTAAGCTTTAAATCATATATTACAGGTTGAGATATTTGTAAGGAAGATGAACTCAATACCTGCTTTTACGGCTAACTTGACTATGGAGTCATTCAACAAGCGTACCTTAAGTTGAAACAAAGTGTGGGATACTAGTGGTATGTGCTGTCTGTCCATTTATGATATATGCAGATGCATAGTATTGGTATTTGTTGTCTATTCTTTTATGGTTATTTCTTTTCAATAAAAAATACAGTTGCAGTGTCCATTATTTAAGTTTTATTTTCTTCCGAGGTTATATATTCTCTTTTGCAAATTGTACGAATTCTGTATGAAAATTACATTAGTGGTTTTTGCACACATTGGAAAAGGAAGTTATATCTCCTGTATGTTGTAATTCAGTTAGTCTACTAGCTTTTCTACTTGTTTCCAATAAAACCTTTAATCATCATGACCTAAATTTCTTTTGTATATGAAAGAAAAAGAAGAACGCAAGCGAGGGTTTTCGCTAGTATCTCATCTTTTTTGCATATATCTACCAGTATGATACTTACATTTTTTGGGGGTTAGTATTATGCTTAGATCAATATGGTTGTTAGAACTTCTTTAATCTTTTTCCACATCTCTGAGTAATTGGACCTTTTCCCAAATTGACAGTATATAATATATATATTATATTTATATATATATAATATATATATTATATATATGAGAGAGAGAGAGAGAGGAGAGAGAGAGAGAGAGAGAGAGGGAGATTAAGTGGTATCCTTGTCATAGGAGGGGATTTCCTCTTGACGCCTGCTAAAATCACATGATGAGCGACATTGTGGATAGATCCGCTCGTTGAACTTGATCTACATATTCTAAAACCCCAACACACCAAGTTTAGGGTGAACCCGCTCGTCGTTTGACCCTTCATCCACTCCGTATCATCTTTAACGGTTTTGAATGAATAGAACTTTTCATATGGCTCGATTGAAGGTCGAACAACGACGGATTCACCCCAAACTGGATGTCTTGTTGGGGTTTTAGAATATGTAGATCAAATTTAACGGAGCGATCATCCATAATGTTCCCAAGAATGTTTGATTTTAGACCGTCAAGCAAGGAAATCCCCTTCCTATGACAATGGATTACCTCATTAATCTCATATATATTATATATATATAGATATATAGTATTATATATATATATATATATATAAATATATATATATATAATGGGTCCACGTGAAAGAGTGCAAGTGTGCACTCACACATTGTGCATGTCGTTTGTGTTGGTGTTGGAACTGTGTGCTGCATTTAGATACCTGGATCTTGCATAATCATTCTTGATGTATGTGTCACTGGATCCTATCTAATAACTATGACCTCACACACACACATACAAGTTGGGGATTGCATACTTGGTAAGAGTACATGCTGTTGAGTAAGGTCACATTTATTGCTAAGCTTGTTGGAAAATTAAATTAAGAACATTCATAAAGTTCCAAAATGAATCGGAAAGAATCAGCAGTAGTAACGGAATATAAAGGAAGTTTTGAAAGCGTAGATTATTTAAGTACAATAACACGTATAAATTAGTCATATGGCTACTAACTTCAATTTTACTATGTCGGTACTAGGTAAGAAAGACTAGGTTAACACGGTAACATTTAACCACTAATGTTATCATAAATATATAACACCCCTGTCAGTCTATGACCTGGTGTAATCTAAGCCAAAATTAAGAAATGACTAAGATACAAGACAACAGAAATATAAATAAAACATCATAATATGATGTGCTAGACACCAATTTTCTGAAGATGCTGTTGGAAAAGTAAGGTGAAAAAGTTAGGAATCAAGGACGGCAATATATGGAAAAGACTAAAAAAATCAAAGAGGAAAAGGCATATAATGGTAGTACAACGTAAGTCAAAGTGGTCTTGTTATTACGTCCAAAATTAGACTTGATTCAGATTAATTGAGTATCTGGCGGCATAAAATTGTTTGGTGCTTACATTGCCTTCCGTGCTGTGTAATTAGTTGCGTAGGCCAAGTTTCATGTGCATTGCTGAGATATAGGAATATGTATCTCCATAGTCCATACAATCATGTTTATGTCTGTACACCTGCACGCATTAATATGTGTAATGCATGCTTTGTCTGTTCACAAGTATTATGTTTTCTTCACTAACTTCTTTCCTATGTCTATGTTACATGTTCTAGAACACTATCTGGACTTCCCAACTCGTACTCACATACATGCATAAACAGATATACAACTGCACAAACATTAAGTGTCCGTGTTGTGTGCATTGACTGCCTTACTGCATAAACATTAAGTGTATTGTGTGTGTTGACTGCCATACTGCGCAAGTATATATGTATCTTTGTCAATAGTCCTTAAATATATTTTCTTTTAATGTGCGTGTCACTCATCCATGTTTTTTATGTCTGACACTTGTATGTAACCAATTGATCCATTTTTTTATGTGCATGACACTTGGTTGCATATACTATATAGTAAGAAGCAAGCAGTTTGTTCCTGATCCTGATTTTCCAATAGTTTCCTCCATTTTTACTCTTAAGCTTCTTTTAAAAAAATAAATTTTTTATAAGCATATTCTTTCACCATATTTTCATTGCTGACAGTGTGTTTTGTTTGTAAGGTTAACAACAGGCAGTGGGCATAGTTGCTTTGAAAATTTGTGAGTTGCAACAGATTGTTCAAGTAAGGTCCTTCCCTCTTTTGAGTAGCATGTGGACCCAGTTTCATATTCAGAAACTGACAAGGGGCCTGCAATTCACACCTATGTCTAGCATTTGTTGGTCACTCATCAGCCTGATATTATGAAATTTTGTAGAATTGATAATTGTCATTTTGCTTTTTTAAGCTTACTCCGGAGGTAAAAAGACAGTTATAGAGCCATGTTTGTCTTTCTTTCCTGGCACAGTCAGTTATTAAGATATTTCTTTCAGAATCACTGTTTAATCAGGTTAAGTCGGATAGTTTCCATGATGTCGGAAAACATGGAGTTACGAGAGCAACCAGAACTTGATTCATAAAGCGAAAGGATTAAAAGATTTGAAGGGAGAGATGTTGACGAACATTGCGCCAGATCAGATGCATTTTTAATTTCATAATCTTCATCAAATAGTTGTTTAATGTGTTAGGGACAGATTTCATCCCTAATTCTGTATTTAGTGCTTCATCTGTAAACATAAAATGTAAGAATCTAACGTCTTGTTTTGAAATTTCATGTTTATTACAAACCAATGGTTTCTTTTTCATGCTAAAGCACCTTTTTCTCTCCCAGCAATGTCAAGATGCTTAGTTATCTCCTTATTAATGGTTTACAGTTTCATTTTTGTATCAACTGCAGAGACTGCTGAATGTTCATCCTGCGCCTGTGTCAAAGCTAATTATTTGGAATCTATTTGGTATGAGCACAAGAGTCATATTTTTTTATGATGCACATATGATCTATAGTGTTCTAATATAAACCACATTACATGATATTTGCCACTTAAGTTTGTGTAAAGTTGTAATCCAAGTCTCACTTGATTTCCATGCTCGACGTAAGGATCTATCTGCTTGTTTGGAGCTTCAAATGGATTCCAAACTACAGGTTTTATATATTCATGGTAAACCACCTTTCTTTGCCGAGCGGTGATTTTAAGAAGCTTAGTTATTGCGTTGTTAACGGTTTATAGGCTCAGTTTGCGCCTAGTGTCAAGAGCTCAGTTATCATTAACAGATTCTAGGTTCCATTTGTACTGTTCAGAGATTGTTGAATACTTGATGCCATGCCTGTTTGAGAGTCAAAAGATGTGGAATATATTGGTATGGGCTAAGTGCCTTGTTCTGTCATGATGAATTGCTATCTATTATATTCTTCTACTATAAAATCATATTGTATGATAAGTGCCTGTAGGTTTGTGTAAGGTAGGGATACTATGTGGATTGTTTATTTTTCTTCCCTTCCCCTACTATAAAATCATATTGTATGTAAATGCCTGTAGGTTTGTCTAAGGTAGGGATTCTATGTGTATGGATTTTTTTGGGATAATGCTCGTTCGGCTTCACTTTTCTAAATTGCTGCTACACTATAAGTGAGACTACAAGTGAGAGAAGTGTGAGCTTTTTTGAGTCCTCTAAGTTAAAAAAAAAACTTTAAAAGGATTGGCTCCATACTTCTCTCTTGTAGCGTGGAATTAGTTTGAGTGGAGTAATGTACTATCACTTCATCTAGTTTATCCGTCTTGTAGTTTGTATGTGGAGGAATGTGCAGACACATACTTCGTTAAAACCCATTTCTCACTTCGAGGTAGCTTCTGTTCTATAGTTTACATGTATCTTCACATACACCAGTACATAACTCAATTAGTTACTTTGAACTTATTACGCAGTGTTATTATGCAATTTGGTTAAGTGTTGTTTCATATATGAAAAGGAATAGTATTAACTAATGTGATTATACTTGTACTTGCATATCAAGTATTCCTAAATAAAAATTTAAGAACTTTCATGAGGTGATAATTTTGAACGACATGAGTAATGTTCTGACTTTCAGTAACCCCCAAGACTGAACAAGCGCAAGCCGTAGACGTGCAACCGGGAATGTGTTTTACCACGTGCTATTGTAAATGGTTCACCAAAGAAGAGATTTATGAAAGACTTAAAAAGTTTAATTCATTGACGGTGAATTTGAGCTGAGGCTGTTTGCAAGGAAAAGGTTTAATTACCATGGACCATCCCACGAAGTGGTGAAGTTGCACGTTTTTCGTCTTATAACAGAGTGTTGACCTTCAAGATTATCTTAAATTTGGAAACTTGACAGGTGCGCGTGAGAGTAAATGTTAGTGCCCTATACACGTAACATGTATTAGTTTTCTTCTGCGGGTAGAGATATGAATGCGTATATTTTCCTGATATTGAAATTCCCAACGGGGCGGTATGAATAGTTTACATCTATTAAAATATGGGTATGAAGTCCCAACTTACCCTGGACTATTCTTCTTTCGCTTGTGTTCGGAGTAGAGAGTCTGGGGAAATAACTCGTCCTATCGATTACGGGTAACACCAACACTCAACACAAGTGAAGCTCGACGGTACGAGCTGCAAACGCTCCGTACGTGAGCCGAATATACTAAAGAGTAAGCTGCTGGGTAAATAATAAGCTGCGGTGTAAAATAGGTGTCTATAGTATACATGCATCCTAACAGCTTGTAGCTTCTAGATACTATGTATATGCGCGTACCCCTTCTTGATGTCCCCTCAGTTGGGTACGGCAGATACACATTGCGCGGATGAGCACGAAAGAAAGGAACAACTTCGAGACCAACGGGGATGCTTACTTTCAAGCGAGCCGACGCGACGGCTCAAACAAAGATCTCAACAAGCCGAACAAAATCGTACTTGTCGAGATGCCTTTTACTTTCGAGGGGAGTTCGAGCAAAGCGTCGTTTAATCACTCGCTTCGGTAAAGCCCCCACGTGACCCAGTAGACCCGACCGAACCCCCCCAAAACCAGGCCCAGTGCCCACCCCTTTGGTTTTGAGGGGTGGGTGGGGTGCCCACGGACAGTCGCCTTTCTCTTCTTTATGACATGTTACCCGGAAGCAGGGGTCCACGGGGAAAATCCATACCAGGCTTTTAGCAAGGATGCTAGTGATAGCATTGTGCAAGGTGCGGTGATGTGATTTGCCCGTAGAAGCTTCTTTTAAAGGAGAGGCGGGTCGGAACTGGGGTGACGTTGAAGCTAACGGATGCTTTTGATGTTTTTGGTTTTGGTGGATGATGCGGAAATCTCCACTCTCAGGCTCTTGCTTGACATCTAGTTCTCTGTGCGACGCAGAGAGATCCTTCGGCCTGTCTAGAGATTTGGAGGGCAATTTTCTGAGACAATTAATCCTGATTCTTTCTGGTACAAGGCGTGTGTATAATTAACTAGGGAGAACCCCGTCTCTCTACAAATTAATGAGATATGATTATAGTACATGGTTGAGCTTTCTCATAAGTAATGTTCCTTATGAATGTCAACAACAAATAGTAGCGGGACGAAACACTCAAATACGAAAATAATGATCAAGGGTGTACAGCACAGCCGATGGCAAAATGAGGATGACTACACTATCTAGTTTAGCTATAATTTCAATTTCTTAAAATGAAAATGGCCGCAGATCTTCAATGATCCGAACCGACTTTTGATCTTTCGTTTGGGTGGTGAAGCTTGGTGGCAAACGCTGTCTACCTTTTACACCAACAAACCTGATCTACAACATTATATAACATTTTTATAGAAAGCGATCGAGCGAGACTTGTGCTAATGCTAGTCAAAGGGGGAAAACGTACATAATAATAAGGGAGGTGCATTCGTGTCCGTCGCAAACTCTCTATCACAAATAACAGGTGCGTGTCTAATCGAGATTGATAAGCATGAATCGTAGTCTTATTGGGTTTATGGCGTCGTGTCGTTTCCCTGATGGTACCGGATGCTATGACAAATAACAGGCCAGGGACGAAAAGGTTGACAATTGCAAGCAACAAGCATGCATGGGCGTTTGGTGTGCGTGTGGGGTGTTCTTATCCTTTTGCTCTTTATTTTGGAGCCGTCAAGCTTGGCATTTCAATTGCTCAAAGATGAGAAAAGCCCTGACGAATCTTCACAGGAATCGCCATCTTGATTCGAATTCTCACTTACGCGTGCTCAGTGGGACCTCGTTCTCTGAATAATTGAGAAACAATTAAGTTAACTCTCGTGCGTTCCCTTTGAAAGCTTGTTTCAAATTAGAAATTAAGGATCTAGCGGTTTACGTTCATAGTATTAATGGAGCATCAGAGTGATATAGGATCAGTATGTTGGATTTGTAATAGGATCGGCCTGAATCAAATCTGAAACTGAGTTGGAAAAACTGTAAACACTGTAGCAACCGAACTGCAGGAAATACAAAAAAACAGAAACTGGTGTTGCTGCAGGAAATAGAACAGAACCGAAAAAAAAACAGAGAGAGAGGAGTTTTCGGTGGAGGAGTTTTCACTTTTTTCTTATTTTCGTTCTACTACTTACAAAGATTGTTTACATATATATAGGAATAAGATTACAACTCTAATCTTATCCAATAACTAGAAAAACTATCCTAACTAGTATTCTATTCTAACTAGAACTCTATTCTAACTAGGACTGATTAACAACTCACATTCTCCCCCTTAATCTGGACTAGACTCTAAGTCCCTTACTCCTAGAAGCTCCCGCATCTCGATGAACTTCACCCTCGCTAGTGCCTTCGTAAGAATATCCGCTCGCTGCTCGCTCGTGCTCACGAACTCCACTTTAATCTGTCCTCGCTCAACACACTCACGAATGAAGTGAAACCGTGTGTCGATATGCTTGCTTCTTCCATGGAAAACTGGATTTTTCATCAAGGCAATCGCGGACTTGTTGTCGACGAAGAGTGTGACCGGCTTGGGCTCACTCCCAATCACCTCGCTGATTAAACTCCTCAACCACAAGCCTTGGCATGCTGCTGCAGTTGCCGCCATAAATTCTGCCTCGCAGGATGATAATGCCACCGTCTTCTGCTTCTGTGATGTCCAAGTGACCAAACTGTCACCTAGATAAAATGCCATGCCGCCTGTGCTGCGCCTATCATCAACATCTCCCGCAAGGTCACTGTCAGTGAATCCCACCAACTCTTCATTGCCTCGACCTCGTTTGTACACCAATCCGTAGGATATAGTACCCTTCACGTACCTCAAAATATGCTTGACCACCTGTCGATGCAAAACTGTAGGGTGCTCCATGTACCTACTCACAATCCCCACGGCATATGTGATATCGGGTCGGGTGTGAGTTAGATACCTTAAGCATCCGATAATGTGTCTATACTCCGTCACGTCCACCGGTGTTCCTTCAGAATCCTTTCCAAGTTTTAGCTTTGCTTCCATGGGATATTGGATCGGGTTACAATCAATCATGCTGAACTGACTCAAAACTCTCTTCGCATAGGCCACCTGCCTTAGCGCAATGCAATCATCTCGCTGATCCACCTCGATACCAAGATAATAGGAAAGCAATCCAAGGTCACTCATCTCGAACTCCTTCATCATTTGTTGCTTGAAAAACTTTATCTCATCCGCACTCGAGCCCGCAACGATCAAGTCATCCACGTACACACCAACAATGAGTGTATCCCCTTTGTTGTTCCTGGTGTATACTGCCTGCTCCTGTGTGCACCTTGCAAATCCGATGCCCTTCATGCACTTGTCGAGGCGTGTGTTCCATGCTCGAGGTGCTT